GTCAGTCCCCCTGCCCACCCCCCCCCCCCAAAAGTTACTCTCTGTCTCTCTGGACCGCCCCTCTGACCCTTCTCCTCTCCCTTCAGCCCCAGGCTACAGTCTCAGGACACAGGCTCTTTTGTAAACTTTTTTTTCTTCAATTATTTCACAATTTTACAAGTCCTGGTGTAATTGTATGGGGTTTTTTTCCTTTTAATTGATTAGAGAGGGAGAGGGAGATAGAAACATCAATAAGAGAGAAATATCAGTTGGCTGCCTCCTGCACACCCCCTACTGGGGATCAAGCCCACAACCCAGGCATGTGCCCTGACTAGGAATCAAACAGGCAACCTCTTGGTGCACAGATGACGCTCAATCCATGGAGCCACACCGGCCAGGCTGTAAACATTTTTAAAAATTCTTTTCAAATCAAAATAATGAGCGTAGCTTTAGATCATGTAAATAATACAGAAGGGTTTGTTTAAAAAGAGCATTTCACCCAGCCCCCGACCCCCCAAGCCTTTCCCCAAAGGCGTCCCTTTGACTGGCGTTTTAGCTCTTTCTTCTCCTCCCCCAAGCCTGTCCGTCTCTCAGCTCTCAGCACACTTCTGCCAGGCCACTTGCCTGGCTGGGACACAGCACTGATGCAAACAGACAGAGTGATCCCCGCCCTCCCAGATGCTGGGGAGGGCGACGGGCATGACATCATGTCTGGTGTGAGAAGGGCTGTGAGGAGGAGAAAGACAGGGTCGTGGGGGACAGGCGGAGAGGAAGGGGGGCCACCTGAGATGAGGTGGTCTGGGAGGCTTCTCGGAGGAGGTGATACTTGAGTGGAGTCCTAGATGAACAGGGAGCCAGCCACGTCCATATCCATCTTGCTAACTGACACCATTCACCCTGATTTCTGGACAGAACCGTTTTAGGCATTTAGCTCGACCTCCTGCTCTAGTAGATGTGAGTTTGGTTCCCTCTCACCCACCCACCCCTCCCCTGAGCCACCTTCCCCACGGTAGAGTTCCATCGCTGTGTCTCATTCCTCCGGCGTCCCCTCCGCGCTTTAAAATGAAAACGACGTACCCACAGTATTCCCAGGCCCGTCACCTCGGGACACCGCTGTGGAGCGAGGGGGATTTGCCTCACCTTCCACCTCCCAACCTCTAACGGGCTCTTTTACGGTTTTTAGCTTCTGTCTGCGGCTAAATTTTTCCAGCTGGAGGCTCTGCAGCGACACTGTGAGATTATCTGTGCCAAAGGCATCAACACGGACAACTGCGTGGACATTTACAACCACGCCAAGGTAAGGGCGCCGGCGAGGTGTCCCTGCACAGTCAGACCGAGACAGGCAGAGCCCAGGCCGGGCCTGCTACCCAGGGCTGACCCCCTGCACCCTCCCAGCCCTGGAATAATGCCGTCCCTTCCTCCCTCCCCTCCAGATGAAAGCGGGAACCCAGAGGTCCCCGGAGCAGAGTTGTTTTTACCGAGTGCTCCCATGCGCACATGCCCCGCATTGCAGGCTGCTTCAGCCGCAGGTGTGACAAGCTCCAGGGGAAGCCCCCGCACCCCGAGACTGGGCAGAGCCACACCTTGGGCAGCCAGGTTCTGGAACAGAGGTTCTCGGAGTGTGGGCACAATCCAGCACCATCAGCACCCCCAGGGAACCTGTTGAGAGTGTACATTCTACCCCATCCCGGCCTCCAGAATCAGAAACTCTGGGGGAGGCTCATATGTGGCTTCGCAGGCGATTCTGGCGCCATGGTTGCCAGCACGGGCCGCACAGGAGCATCACCTGGACGCTCACCTAAAATCCCTGGACCCAGGACCTCTCGCAGAGCAATTCAACAAGCTCTTCTGGGGGAGCCCGGAGAGAGGGTGTTTTTCTAAGCTCCCCCTGTGATTCTCGGGTGTGGCCAAGGTTGAGATCAGGGTGTCAGGACGGGGGAGAGCCAGGGACAGGTGGATCTAACACTACCAATCAGAATCACTAGGGGAGAGTTTCAATCTGCTTAGTTCCCGCCCCACGGCCACAGCCAGGTCCCGGCAGTGGGGCCCAGAAATCTGTATTTTTAACGAGCTCCCAGGGTGACTGCTGTGACTTCAGCGGCACGGCCAGTCTTCACTCCAGTTTTCGGGACCCACTGGGTTTAATCTAGTTCGTTTCACACGTGGGGACCTGGGACCAAGAGGATTAATTAGCCCAGTGCCGCTTCCTGCTGTTTCCTGTGCTCAGGACGGGGGATTCATGTTCGCTGGGAAGAAATAATGAGGTAAAATCGGGAATCAATCAAAAACAAACGAAAAGCTTTTGATAACTGGAGCTCAGTGTCCTTGCCTCTGACATCCACAGCTCTGCGGAGTGACACCTGATGTGCATAATTCTCTCGTGGCTCATCGGGAAAAACCAGGTTGCGTGTGAGATGTTAGTTTCTGTCTTAAACCAACATTCAACAATTCCTTCTCATGTGCAGGCTTCTGTGCTAACAGCCCTGTTGCACCATCTCTTTTAATCTTCACCACAACCCTTTTAGATAAATGCTATCACCGGTCCCATGTCATAAGGAAACAGGCACAGAGAGGGGAAGTAACTTGCTTAAGGTCACAGTGCTGGAGCAAACATACAAAAAACCATGTGCAGTCTTGGTTTTATTGTGGTAAAATACATGTAACATGCAGTTCACACTGTAACCATTTCTAAATGTGCAGTTCAGCACAATTAAGTGCATTCACATTGCCATGCAGCCATCACCACCCTCCCTCTCCAGATTTTTCATTTTCTCAGATTGAAACTCTGTACCCTTAAACACTGACTCCCCATTTCCCTCTCCACCCAGCCGCTGGAAACCACCATTTTACTTTCTGTCTCTGTGAGTCTGACTCTTCTAGGTGTCTCCTGGAAGTGGAATCACACAGTATTTGTCCTTTTGTGACTGGCTTATTTCACTTTAGTACCGTGTCCTCAAGGTTCATCCATGTCTTGGCATGTGTCAGAATGCCCTTCCTTCTTAAGGCTGAATAATGTATGTGTACACCACGTGGTGTTTATCCATTCGTCCATCATGGACAGTTAGGTTGCTTCCACCTTTTGGCTATTGTGAGTAATGCTGCTGGGAACATGGGTGGACAAACCCTGTGTTCGAGCCCCTGTTTCAGTTCTTTGGGGTATGTACCCAGGAGTATAAACCTAGATTTGTCTGACTCCAAAGCACAGGTTCTTAACTTTGGGTTTACTGTGTGGCCTAAAAATTGTTTGAATATTTGCAACGATCCTTGATACTCAATATTTTCTGATTGGTCATCAGTAAATCAAAAGTACAGCAGCCTACTTACTTCATACATACACAATGCACTTGTGCACATACACACACACACACACACACACACACACACACACATACAGCACTGGGTGTTTTGGTTAAGTGACAGTTTTACCAAAATCTGGTTTCTCAGGACACAGCCTTAAAAAAAAAATCTTAAACTGATTACTTTGCAGAAAAGCATCCAGAAAGACTCTCTCTACCCAGAAAGAGAGCCTGATCAGTCTGTGGTCCTCTGTCCACCCCCAGCCATTGACACGCATGCCTGTGAACCCCACATCACACGTGGCTTTGCCGTGGCCCATCACCTTGGTGGTAAGGCCTGCATTCCACAGCCCCGTTTTAATCTCTTCATGCTCCTTGGCAGGCAGCCTCGGCCGCTATCTCGTTATTTAGTAATGCAGCCCCGTGCCACATGAGCCCGGCTGGGCGCACGTTTGTGCCAGGCTGAGAACATCGATGGCAGAGAACTGTCTCTTTCATTTAGGTTCCTTTGCAGGCAGAGCTTTGCCATTACAGACACCGTCCTCAGCCTCCCAGGCCACATCCTGGAGTGTTTCCAATGCAGACGCCTGTCCTTCCTGGAACACGGGCATGGAGGCCTGGGCAGTGCCCGCGCCCCTGCCCTGCTCCCCTGCGCTGTGGACACTGCAGCCCCCACTAATGACCACATGCCATGTGGATTCTATTACTGACGGATCGTGCTGCAAAAGGGGGCTGATTTAGTAAAAGAGAACAAAAGGAAAAAACCAGCACCTGGTGTAGAACCACAGGAAATGCAGGCATTTAGTTGCTAACCACCACGTTCCAAGCGCCAGCAAGGCCATGGCAGCTTACCTCTATACTCCATGTAACTGGGACAGCTGTGGAGTTTTATACAGATGAGAAGCCCATTCCTTAAACGCTCGGCTTAGCCATCCTTTCTTAACCAGCAAAGCTGTCCCATCAGAGGCTCCGGAGCCAGCAAACCTTCTCTGTGAGGGGCCCCGTAAATATTTTCACGCAAGTCATACGATTCCTTCTGTACCTACTTAACTCTGCCATTGCAGTGCCAAAGCAGCCGCAGACAATATATAAATGAATGGGTGTGGCTGTGTGCCAATAAAACTTTATTAACAAAAACACGGAGCGGGCCTGTAGTTTGTCAACCATTGGTCTACGACAGTGGTCGGCAAACTGCAGCTCGGCAAACTGCAGTTCGAGAGCCACATGCGGCTCTTTGGCCCCTTCAGTGTGGCTCTTCCACAAAATACCAACTTCTGTGCATGGGCCACAAAGTTTCAATCACACTGGACGTGCACACCCGCACGTGGTATTTTGTGGAAGAGCCACACTCAAGGGGCCAAAGAGCCGCATGTGGCTCGCGAGCCAGGGTTTGCCGACCACGGGTATAGGACAGAGATTTCCAACCTGTATGCCGAAAGAATTTTTAAAACATGCAGGAATTGACCTCTTCTCCCTTAGATTGTCAAATAAAAAAAACATGACAACAGCCAACACAACAATAGCTGTCCAGTGTGAATAAGTAAAAATTATACAAATTGTACATATTTTTTGTCAGATCAGCAAAAAATATAATTTTTTGGTGTGCCACAGAATTTCAGTAATTAGTTTATGTGTGCCATGAGATGGAAAGGTTAAGATCGCGGGTCTGGGAAATGAGAGTTTTGGTCCCAGTTCTGTTAGTAATTAGCTGTGTGGACATGGACAAGTGTCTGATGTACAGTCCCCAGTCATTCGGAGACCACAGAACTCCCTGGTGTGTCCGCATCCCAAATGCACCCTGAGTGTGGTTCCCTCCAGTCTACGCCCCTCGTTTTGTAGCTTGGAAAACTGAGGCCCAGAAAAGTGATTTGGTTTGTACAAGATTGCACATGGTTTTTTGTATGTTTGCTCCAGCACTGTGGAAGAATTGTTTTTTGTGTGGTAACATTGGTTAACAACTTTATGTAACTTTCAAGTGTACAACATTTTTTTTATTAATTTTTTTAATCCTCACCCGAGGATATTTTTCCATTGAGTTTTAGAGAGAGTGGAAGGGAGAGGGAAAGACAGAGAGAAACATCAATGTGAGAGAGACACATCGATGGGTTGCCTCCTGCAAATGCCCTGACCGGGGCCCAGGCCGGGGAGGAGCCTGCAACTGAGGTACGTACACTTGACCAGAATTGAACCCGGGACCCTTCAGCCCAGGACCCTTCGGCCCACAGGCCGACACTCTATCCACTGAGCCAAACCGTACAACATTATAATTTGATATGTGTTTACACTATACGGTGCTCACTACCAATATTCTAGTTTCCATCCATCACCATACCCTCTCTCAACCTACTTCCCCTCTGGTAACCACCAATCTGTTGTCTGTAGCTATGGGCTTGTTTTTTATTTTTGTTTGTTCATTTCTTTTTTGTTTTATATTCCATATATGAGTAAAACCATATGGCTTTTTTTCTTTTTTGTCCAACTTATTTCACTTAGCATAATCAAACCTTAAGGTTTATCTATGTTGCTGCAAATGGTGGCAATGTTCCATCTTTTTTAGAGCTGAGTAGTATTCCATTGTGTGTGTGTGTGTGTGTGTAGAAGATTATATTTATATATATATATATATATATATATATATATATATATATATATATTATCATCTTCTATATCCATTCATTTATCGATAGGCATTTAGGTTGTTCCTGTGTCTTGGCTATTGTAAATAATGCTGCAATGAAGATAGAGGTGCATGTACCTTTTCAAATTAGTGTTGTTGTTTTTTTGGATAAATATCCAGAAGTGGAATAGCTGGATCATAAGGTAGTTCTATTCTTAATTTTATGAGGAACCTCGGTACCGATTTTCACAGGGGCTGCACCAATTTACAATATCACCAACAGTGTACCAGGGTTCCCTTTTCTCCACATCCTTTCCAATACTTGTTTCTTGTCCTTTTGATGATAGCCATTCTAACAGGTATGAGGTAGTACATTATTGTGGGTTTGATTTGCATTTTCTAATAGTCACTAATATTAAACACCTTTACCATCCTTGTTCACTATCTATATGTCTTCCTTGGAAAAAATACCTATTCAGATCCTCTGCCCATTTTTTTAGTCAGGTTGTTTTGTTGTTGTTGATTTGGTTTCACATGGTCTTTATGTAGACAGTTGGGCTGTTGGCTCAGTGGATCAGCACATGTCAGCGAGTTCAAGGTTACAGGCCAAGTAGCTGAGCTGGGTTCTGTAAATACAGTCAACTCTTCTTACCACAATCTGGCCACTTTGTACACATGGGTCACCGATACAAGTTATTGAGAAGAAGAAGAAGAACTATAGTCTACATTTATCGTGACAACTGACAGTGAGTGACTACTGATTACAATCAGTGTTCTGGATGATCCATGTATTATCTCATTTAATCGCAACGACAGCTCATTAGGTATTATTTTGATCCCCATTTTATGGATAAGAATACTGAGGCACAGAGAGATTAAGTAACTTTTCCAACAGCAGATGGCTAGTGAGTGGCGAAGCCTGGACTAAAAACCCAGGCAGATTCCAGAGCCCCCTCCCTTAGCTGCTTTCCAACCTGTCTCCTCTGAGTGACGATGACAGAGTCCTGCCATCAATCATATTCCATTGAATCCCACCAACAGGTCTGTGTTGCAAGTGTCATGATTCCCATTTTGAAAATGAGGAACCCAAAGCCAGAGGCCAAGTGACCCAGCCCTGGTCACATATTCATAAGGTGGGGGACCCCCAAATGGAACCCAGGTCTTCCAGCTCATTCCACCATCACTGCCTCTTCGTCATCGCACCATGCCACACCTGACAACATAAAGCGCATCTCTGGTCTAACGGACAGAATATTCGAGCATTCAGAAGGATGACTCGGCATCTAAATAAAGCAGCAGGATGTCATCTCAAGGAGCCCTTCCCAGCCAATTCCTGAGCCTCCAGTTCATTGCAATAGAGAGACCTGCAAGCTTTGACAACCGTAGGGCAGGGCTAAAGACAGACGGCCGAGCCACACATCCACATCTGCTTTTGCAGCTCGAATGTGCATTCCTCCATCGCGTGCTGTGAGGTTAAATACCTGCCCTTACAGGCATCAGGCCCAAGGCAGTGCGTCCTCATGGGTCAAGCACAACCTTAAGGGTTCAGTTCCTGGTTCTGCCCTGGACACGTTGTATGAATTTTTGTGAGTGATTCGTGCTCTTGTCTCCATTTCCTCATCCATAAATTGGAGGTGGTAATGGTACCTGCCTCAGGGAAATTTGAAGATCAAATGGGATGATGCCTGTGAAATGCCTAGCAAGGTGCTGGGCACATCGTAAGCTCTCAATAAATGATTGCTGTTAGTTTCACTGCTGAGAGTTAACCATTCGTTCACACATTCCTCAAACATTAAGTGTCTGCCCTGGCCGGTTTGGCTCAGTGCATGGAGTGCCGGCCTACGGACTCAAGGGTCCCAGGTTCGATTCCGATCAAGGGCATGTACCTTGGTTGCGGGCACATCCCCAGTAGGAGGTGTGCAGGAGGCAGCTGATTGATGTTTCTCTCTCATCGATGTTACTGGCTCTCTATCCCTCTCCCTTCCTCTCTGTAAAAAGTCAATAAAATATATTTTTAAAAAAACATTAAGTGTCTGCCAAACGCCGTGCCTTTTGCTTGGGCTTCTAACGGTGAGCCAGGCTGCCAAAGTCCCTCCTGTACTGGTGTAGTCTATCAGGAACCACGTCTCTAGACCAGTGTCTCAAGCTCAGCACTATTAAGGGTTCAGGCTGCACAATTCTTCGCTGTGGGACTGCCCATCGTGGGGATGTTCAGCACCATGGCTTCTACCCATTAGTTGCCAGTGGTACACACACCATCACCAGCCCATTCGTGACAACCAAAAATAGCTCCAGGCTTTTCCCAATGTCTCCTGGGAGGCAAAAATCACCCCTGCCCTAAAGACATTGGGTAGGTAGGCAGTGCCCACTCATAGGATTGTTGTGAGAATTAAATGGGTTAATTCTTGTAACGACCTTAGAATTGTGTCTACAACTCCCTTCGCATGCCAGTGATCTATAGTGTTACGAAGAAACACAAAACCCAGTGGTTGAAATAGTGAGTGCTTATCTCGTATACAAGAGTCGCCGGCAAGGCCAGCTGGCTGGTTGATCTTGGCTGGCTTTGCTGATCCTGGCTGGACCCTGTTGCTAGCAGAAGTTTCAGCTGGGACAGCTGGGTTGACTCCACTCGGTCTCACGTGGTCACTCACCTCCAGACCGACTGGCTCGGGCTTGTTTTTGTGGCAGAGGCTGGGTTCTGAGAGAAAGAGAGCACCCTGCCACATGAATGTAGCTCAGAACTGGCGACTCTCCCTTCTACCATGTTCTGTTGGCCTGAGCAGGTCACAAGTCCAAGAGACAGACTCTAGCCCTTAGATGGAGAAGCTACGAAGTCATGCCCCAAGAGTGTGACTATAGCCAAGGGTGGAGGAGCAGGGCCACTTTCACAGTCAACCCACCGTGATAGGTGTCCGCCATTGTTACCTAGGGAAGCCATCGGGTGCTCTCAGAACCATAACCATCTCCCGCTTCTTCTCCACTCCCCACAGTTCCTCGGAGTCACCGAGCTCTCCGCGTACTGTGAAGGCTACTTTCTCAAAAACATGATGGTCCTCATTGAGAACGAGGCGTTCAAGCAGCTGCTCTACGACAAGAATGGCGAAGGCACGGGCCAGGATGTGCTGCAGGACTTACAGAGGACGTTGGCCATCAGGATTCAGTCCATCCACTTGTCATCTTCCAAAGGCTCCGTCGTGTGAAGCGTCCAGTGCAGGGACCGCTCCCGGGACGTGCCAGTGCTCCTGCTGCACCGGCTCCACACAAACACACATTTCACCCGGTGTCTGCTTTTGGCTGGGCCAGGGAGCTGCCTCTACTGCCTCGGATCCCCTTGAATAAGCAAATTCAGCTCCACGGGTTCCTGTTGAAAAACAGAGGACATTCCACTGGTCTGCAGAGCAGAGCGTAGCTGGGTCCAGAGCTTGAAGGCCAACACGGGGCCGCCAGGCTAACCCCATTCGAAGGCACCGCTGGGTCGCTGAGCATCTATTATGGGGACCACTATCAGAAGGATGGACTGGGAACCACAGGTCGTCTGGGTTCCAGGTGGGCAGCTGGAACACCTAACTGCAGAGAGTTGAGTTGTGTTACCCACCGAGGACCGCAGCAGCCACAGCTAAGCAAGTCAACCCTGATCGCAGATTGGTGAGACTGTTACCAATAGCGAAGAAATAATTTGACAAATTTTTAGGGGTGGGGACTTTTTAAAATGTTCATTAAAACACACACACACACACACACACACACACACACACACACACAGGGCAGCCTGTAGTTTAAAATATATTTCTAAAAGCATAACAGTTCATTTTCAACTGAATTGTGTTTAGGGATCTGTGTTTTGAGATTTTTTTTTCTTTAAAAAAACAACAACAACAGTAAGACACAGGTCCACACTGTATAAACCTGCATCTGACAAGATCTTGCTGATATTCTATCCAAGGTGAAATCATACTCCTGCCTTAGTGATCACGGTGACACAGAAGAGGTGCACTGCCAATAGCTCTCTCTCACTCAGTAGTCGAAAACAGCCTGCATGCTAGTTGTGGTTTCGGGGTGAGATTGAAATAGCCCCGCATAAGAAAACATGCATTTGCATGGGCCGTTATGTTTGTGCTTCATTTTTGCCAAGGTAAAAAAAAAACACAAAAAACAAATATTCCATCACTTCCTGCTAAAAGTCGATTGGATGAAACGACATGTCCATTTCTTTTCCTAATTATGAATGATTCTGGGATGCTTTTGCAGACATGTGTTCATAGATGATGCTGAATGGGGAGGGGGGAGGGGGAAAGCACGTCGGAGAATTTACTAGTAATTCCAGAGTTTTCTCTGTATTCTCAGAAGATGTTAATAGTTTGTTACTAGCCAGAGCCTATGACTATGTTAGATTATTTTTCAAGATGAAACCTATATGATAGGATGGCTTCTTTCTGTATTTGGAGAGTGTACAGTATAGGGTTATCTATAATGAAAGTTTATATCAACAGGGTTCCATTTGCTCTGCCATATATTCTAAGCAACAGAGATGGGTGAAGTGCCACAATATTCCAAATAATTTTTGAGTTGCTGCCTTTGTTCTTGTCCTTTCATTTGAAACCTAGCTACATGCAGTGAAAACTAGGAGAATGCCTTTACCCCCTTGGGATGGCCAAGTTGCGTTGACAAACCTATTTCCTAGCATGCCTTTGGGAAGCCGTGCGCAGACCCTGAATTTCAAAGGAGCTGCTGTTCGTCCATCGTACCTGCTCCCTGAGCCGCTGTTCAGAGGATCCGCGTCGTGCTCCGTTCCATGGGGTGACCGTGGAGAAGCCAGGCCACGTCCGTCTTCGGCGTTGATTCTTCTGTGATGCCCCTACGCAAGGCCTCTCTTCCACCTGGTCATTTGCCAACCTCCTCAGGCCCTACGACCATCCATGAGGAAGGAAAAGGTACTGCAGAGGGGTCCCGGTGACAAACACACAGCACATGTGTGACCCGTCACCATCTCCTGCCTCCTGCGTGTCCTCAGAGATGCCGCGTGGATGTTCCCTTATCCGCGATGGACTCCCCTGTGACTGGCTAATGCTATCAGGGCCTCTGGGCGTTGACTGGTACAGTGGCAGCTCCTGACGAGCTTCTGTTCTAGTTTGGTGTGCTTTCTCTGTCATTAAAAGAAATGATTTTCCCAAACCGTGCATCCTTTGTATAGACACGTGAGCTCTTCTTTTTAATTTTTTTTAAGCATATAGTGGGCATACATCCTTCTATTGGTTATATTAGCTTCAGGTGTAAACATAGTGATTCAACATTTTTATACCTTACGATGTGATCACCCACTAATCCTACTGAGCATCTGTCACCGTGTAACTTTATCACATTATTACTGACTGCATTCCCCTTCACCTTTTTCACCTCCAAACCCCCGTTCTGGTCTCTGTTTCTATGAGTGTTTTGTTTGTTTGTTTGTTTGTTTGTTTGTTTAAGATTCCACATATAAGTGAAACCATATGGTATTTGTCTTTGCCTGACTTATTTCACTTAGCATAATATCTCCTAGGTCAGTGGTCGGCAAACTGCGGCCCCTTGAGTGTGGCTCTTCCACAAAATAACATGTGCGGGCTCACACGTACAGTGCAATTGAAACTTCATGGCCACACTCAAGGGGCCAAAGAGCCGCATGTGGCTCGCGAGCCGCAGTTTGCCGGCCACTGTCCTAGGTCCACCCAGGTTGTTACCAATGGCAAGATTTCATTCTTTTTTTTCTTGTTGTGTAATGTTCCTGTGTGCATGTGTGTGTGTGCTATCTTCCTAAGCCATTGATCTGTTGCTTCCATATTTTGGCTGTTATGAATAATGCTGCAATGACCATGGGGTGCAAAATTCTTTTCCAATTCGTGTTTTTGTTTTCTTCAGAAAAATACCCAGAAGTGGAATTGCTGGGTCAAATGGTTGATCTGTTTTTAGTTTTTCGAGGAATCGCCAGTGTTTCCCGCGGTGGCTGCACCAATCTGCAGTCCCTCCCACAGGCGCAGGGTCCTCTTTCTCCACATCCTCACCAACATGTTATTTGTTGACCTTTTTGTAATAGCCATTCTGGCTGGTTTGAGGTGGTAGCTCTTTATGGTTTTAATTTGCATTTCCCTAATGTTTCCTAAATTAGAATTGCAAGCAGTCGCTCTCCCAAACGCCTCAGCCTCATCGACTCAGGAATGTGAGATACTGTTTGTGACACTTATGGCTTGAGTCTAAAGCTCAAAGCCCCACAAAGGACTGAGCAGGTCCAAGGCCCACTAGAGCCCTGACTTTCAGTCCAGGACTGGGGACCATGGCCCTTTGGAAAGGAGGGGAGTTGTCATACATCCCCCAATGAAACCAACTGCTAGATCAACTCCAGAGAAACCCAGAATCGCTGTCCTCAGGTCGACGGCCAGGCCCGTGACCTTCTCTGCCACTTGACTGTGTGACACTCACTCCCCACCCCTCCCCAGTGAAACTTCCCATCATCTCTGGTCCCCTCCCTGCAGCTGGCCAGGGCCTTGAACCCAACTGTGCCTCCGGCCAGGGCCACTGCAGAAGCCGGAAGCCAATATCATGCCTATTTTTTCACCCTCTTTAAAAATAACCCAGCAGGGAAAAAAATAAAATAAAATAAATAACCCAGCAGATTTTAAACTTCCTCTTGGTAGGAAAAAATAGAACTGGCGCTCAGCAATCACACTGCACACGAGCTCCCCTTCCTGATGAGGCAGTCAGATAGCGAGGGCCCCGCGAAAGGACACATCTCCGAGTTTAGCTCTGAATATGAAAAGACAATCTGTCTGCGTGAATAGGCAATTAAAAGAGATGTCCTGGTATCATTGGTATGTTCTTCAGATGTTGTTTTTTTAGACTGAACTTTCTTTCGGATGAGTGTAGAATCTTAATGCCGTCTCAAACCTCTGGGACGGAGGGCTGCCCGGGGAGGAGGCGGGTGGCGTCATAGAGGGGCTCTGGGCTGGGACCAGGTCTCACCCCTGGCCCTGTGGCTGCGTCGGCTACTTAGGTGGCCGTGGCCAGGCCTCTCCTCCATTCTGGACCTGTTTTCTCCACTCAGAATGAGAGTTTTCTGGCTGATGTTCTGTGTGCCTGGACTACATCCGTGTGTGAGAACACTGTGGTAATGCCATTCGTGTGATAGAACATTCAGGAGGGCTTAGGACAGCCGTGGACAAACTACAATGTTTTCAGTAAAACAGGCAGGAATTCAAATGAAAGCCTTAAAACAGACTCCAAGGATATTTTTTTATGAGGATGCATCTCACCAGATGATGGCCTCAGGACTACCATCTCCTTTTTGTTTTGTTCTTTTGTTTTTAAATAACTGTAGATTCACAGGAAGCTGCAAAGATAGTATGGAGAGGTCCCCTGTAGTACTCACCCAATTCCCCCCAATGTGCAGTCTAGTGCAATATCAAAACCAGGAAAAATGATGTTGGTATAATGCATGCGTCTAGTTCTCGGCCATTTGATGACATGTGGAGATGCGTTTAACCACCACAATCACTGTCCCATCACAAAGACCTCCCTCATGCTGCCCCTTTTTAGCCTCTCCTAGCCCCTTCCACACACACCTTCCCTATCCCCTGGCATTTAGGCATTTTGAGAATCCTATATAATAAAAGCCTAATATGCTAAGTGTCCACTCGTCCGGTCATCCGTTCAATCAAAGAGATGCTTATCATTAGATATGCTAAGGCCACTCAACCGCTTACTATGATGTGCACTGACCACTAGGGAGCAGATGCTCCAACCGATAGGTTAGCTTGCTGCTGAGGTCCGGCTGATCAGGACTGAGCAAGACGAACTGGACATGCCCTGGAGCCCTCCTGCAGTCCCTCCCTGGCTGGCCAACCTCCCGTGTCCCTCCCTGGCCCCAATCGTGCACTGGTGGGGTCCCTCGCCCTGGCCTGCACCCTCTTGCAATCCAGGACCCCTTGGAGGATGTTGGAGAGCCGGTTTTGGCCTGATCCTGCAAGCCAGGCCGAGGGACCCCACTGGTGCACATATTCATGCACCAGGCCTCTAGTGTTATATAAATGGAAGCATAGCGTAGATGGCCTTACTCAGCACAATGACCTTGAGACCCATCCACAGATGTTGCATGTATTAAGAATCTGTCCCATTTTCATTGCTGAGTAATATTCCCCAGGGTCCCATCTCCTTTGGACCAAATACATGAAGGTGTCAGGAAGTTATGCAGTGAGGCAGCTTGGTTCTGGCAGCTGACTCTCTGGTCGTAGCTCCAGAAAACAAGTGTGTCTCCTGAGAGCCAGACATGACTTCCTGGTCCTGTCCAGCACGGAGCTGAGACTGTCCCATGATGTTAGGCCCACAGCTGGATGTTGGTGATGGGTCCCTGAGGTCCACTGCTCCCACCTGGGCTAAATGGCCCTTCATTTCTGCAACAAGGTCCTTCTGTGGTTGACCGATTTCCAGATGTCTCGCTGATGGTGTAGGGAAGTGCTCCTCGAACTCACTCTGTAGGCACAGCTCTGGGGACCTCCTTTTAAGGCAGGTCTGGTTCCATGGGGCTGGGCCAGGCTCGAAAGTCAGCATTTCTCACAAGCATCCAGGTGAGGCTGCTGCTGCTGGTCCAGGGACCACTCTTTGTGAAGCGAAGGTGTAGAGGATGGAGGTCGGATTCACCTCAAACCCCTTCTGCTGCCAGACCAACCTATGACTTTTGTCCCATCCCCTGGCCTGGCTGGGTTCTCAACCTCCTGAGGGACTATGAGCTTTTCCTTCTGACCCAGACCATGAAGACCCCTTAGCAACACATCTGAGGAAATCATCTGAAATGGTATTGTTCTGGGTGGAGGGTTCAACCCGTCTGAATGACGCCTAAGGGACTGTTCACCCCAACCCCATTCTACCTCCCCTTTTCCCTGGGCCCCTTTGATCTACATCACATGTATGTATTTCACCGGCGTTTACTGATGCTAATATAAATAAGGGGCCCGCCTCTCTGCTGTGGCATTGAGTCCTCTCCCCTTCTTATTGTTCAGGGTTGGCAGTAGGAGGAAAGCAGGGCCTTCTTGTTTATCTTAAGACTTTAATGAGGTGTCTTTCTGCATGCACAGAGCCCCCTGAGAGTGGTAGGGACACCCAGGGGGGAACAATCAAAGACAGCCGTTGCTTAATGCTCACTTCACAATACTCTGATAGTAAAGAGGAATGCATGAAACATCTGGTCCATAATGGCTCCTGGGTGACCTTGAGACGTGTCAGCCTTGTGCCATGGGGACAGAGAAGGAGTGGCAGGATTGTATCTACAATCCCTCATTATTTTCTTTCCTTGTCAAGGGAATGGCTGCATGTTCAGCACTTCAAAGGCATCCCTCTCATACATGGGGGTTGTCGGGGGAGTTCAGACATTGTTTTCTGTTGAACACGTAACAAGAAAGTACGTGAAGTCTGTTTTTCTAAAAAATTCCTTAGGCCAGGGAATGAATCCCTGATATGTGAGGGTTTTGGTTTAATGTAAGTCGGCTGTGTGATGTGGTGGCTTAGAAGAGTGTGTTTAGGTAGAGGCTGCATTGATAGAAGCATGGTCGCTGGATGAGGAGGTGATGGTTCTACGTCTGCCCTGAGAGATCCCTGCTGAGTTGTGTCTGTATGAGTCAGAGTTCTTACCAGAGAGCAACTCTGGCTAATTTAAGAAGAAAGTAGATATATTCAAAGAAAGCCCTGATGAGGTCATTGCTGCCACCAAATACTACAAAGGCAGAAATCAGCAATGGCAGTTCCACAGCTCCCAGGAGCTCCATTTCCATGACTGCTACGGCTGCCATCTTGCATCCAGAACTCACCCTGCCCCCAAAAAGCTCAATGCCTTCTTCTCCGCCTGCGCTATGAAGGGCCTGGGTCACATGACTGGTCCCAGCTGCAGGGGAGACTGGGAATGTCGGTTCTCACTACCTCAACGAGGGAGTGGGGACAGAAGGGATTTCTGCAAATACAGAAAGATGATGAGTAGGCATGCACGTGACAGATGCCCCCCTACACTTAGTGAAGGTCACAGAGAAACTGCAGCCTCGTAGAAGGAAGTAGCCAGGTGAAAGAGCAGCTGAGGGGACGGCGATGTTTGGCCCACAGAAGAGAAGACTTGGGTGGCTATCACGGCTGCCTTCAAATAGCAGCAAAGGTGTCGGAGATG